CGATTCCCCATAATGAACAGAACACGGATAGCATATTGTGTGACTAAAGGTAACAAACAACATTAAAAACAAGTGTATTAAAACAACAACATTCAAGTAAGTTTGAAATGTATTTTAATAACGTTTCTGTATTTTACAATCAGGAAAATTATTTATACAACGTTTAAAACTTGAAGTTCTAACGTACAGAAACAAAACATATCCAATTTGTAACTGATATTTAACAAACTTGAAACTAGCAGAAGTAAGTACTGTCAGAAACAGTAAATCTATTGTTCTGTAAACTACACCAAAATATTGATGAATATTTCCCCATATTGTTATATTTATACATAACTCACATTTATAGAACGGTGCGATACTACTTCCATTGTATTTTCTTTGTTTTAGTTATGTTTCTCATTTTCTGTCTTTGTTTCAATAATGTTACATACTTTCAGTTCATATGCAGTTGTTCATGTCTAAACAAACATATGAAGTTGATTGTAAACAAGCATATTTGAATGTAGTTATAATACAATTTAGGATAATTATAGCTTTCTTGACACGTTAATTTAAGTATACAATTAAAGGTTATGAAAGAAAAGTTATAGAATGTAATATAAAAGTTTATCTAACAGAAAGTATTTTTCATCTCAAGCTTCCAGGTGCAGTTGAAGATTGTGAAAAGGCAACATTTTCTTACCAGAACTATAAAGATTACATGAATGAAATGTGCAAAGAAGAAAGATATCCTGATCAAGAGGTGATGATGAACTATTATATATATTCTTATATAATTAATCTCTGAACTTTTTAGTTACTTATTTATTTTAAAACATTTTATAATGAATAATAACAAAAAAGTTCCTTTTATAACCACCAGGGTACTTCACAGACGCGGTAATTTGTGACTTCTTACTAAGAGTTTTTTTTTTTAATGTTTGGGAACGAAAACTTAATCCAATAGATTTGCTTTCAGTGTAGACATTTTACATAAATTAATTTTGAAACTCTAAACAGATATAAAATTCAGAAGGAAAAGTCTTCAAACTCTGGAAGTGTGTTTAACTAACATATATGTTACGGTTTAGGAGTGACAAAGAAAGGAATGAATATAGTAACCTTATAGTCACCCTGGACAGTGTTATATGTGATGTCCTACAACAGAAGTATAATTCAGTTCTGAAGGTATAAACAAACACATTTTATGCTTGTACAAACTTCCAATCTTGTAATATCCTACATAACATTAAGGCTTATTTATCTGTGCTTGCAGGGAATCCAGCAATGTATCGGTGAGAAATTTGCAGCAGCTCAAGTGGATCTAGAATCGGCACTTACTGAAATGAAAAACAACTGTTTGTGAAGACGTAAGTTAATAAGGTTAAGATATATCAATATATTAGTAATAAACTAAACACCTACTTATTACTTACAATTAACGTAACGTGTTGTATAACGGTTCGAGTTTGTCGTAAATATTCATGTATCATGATTCAGTTTAAGTAAAAAATACCATCACAATAAAAAAAATATATTGTAAATATTATTATTATTAATCATTATATTTAATTTTGTTTTCGCGGCATAGTAAACTGGCGCTCTTTATTTTTAAATTACACAACTTTATTAAAATATGTGGTTATTTGTTAAGTATGTACTTCATATTTCACTTTTGAACATGTAATTTTAAAATGAGGCCAAAAAGACGCATAATACAAATCAACATATCCGTATCGAGACTGATAAAGTATAGATTAATAAAGCTCCCTTCATTGAAATTATTATTTGTAAAGAATCAACATTTCCCTAGAACTGAGTTGTTCAGATCCTTCATCGTTTTCACGTGTTTGAAACTTTTAACAATATATTTTGAAATGAAACTAACAGCAAAATACATCATCGTTACTATGTTCTACCTTCTTGAACGGAAAATGTAATATTTAGTCCAAACCTTAAAGACATAAAACTTATATAAAAAATATTATACAATAACAGAAAACCACAGCGTTCCCACTCTATTGCACCTTATAAGTGAATTGACATTAATATTTAATTATTTTAATGTTTTTGATATTTACAGCTTCAACGGATCACGTCACATCTGATGAAGACCAGTATCTATATATTACCTATAATATAATAATCTGAATCTGTCGTGGTTTCCTTCTTTTTGGGATATGTTTAACTCTCAAATATCTTTATCTAGAAAATAAAATTTTCATAAAGCAACAAAAGTATTGAATTTGTTTGATTTATCAAATATGGTTTTAAGTTACTGTGAAGTTAAAGATATACAAGGTTTTTTTTTTTAATACACAATCCTTTGTTAATGAAATAGAATATAGTGTTTCCTTGTTGTTTGTTAAACTAAATATACTGACTCACTATTACACAAACATAAATATCATGAAAACTGTCTTCATTTTGAGGTGTTAAAAAGTGATAATAAGAACATTGGAAAAATTTCATGTGTTTAAAGGAGTTGATAGTTCGTACTTAGAATGTATTTCAGAAACTTATTCACACAAGAACAAACCTTGGCTATGATGGTCACGTGTTATTAAATAAATGCCCCCCAGTGGCACAGCGGTATGTCTGCGGACTTACAACGCTAGAAACCGGGTTTCGATACCCGTGGTGTAGCTTTGTGCATAACAAAAAACAAACAAACAAACAAATTATTAAATAAATTATTTGTTATCTGTGTTACGCCCACAGCGAGTATGGAAACGGAATTTTATGTGATATTAAAGTCGTCGACACCTACGGTTAAACTTCATTATAAATAATCACTTTCTTGTACAATATATTATATATCTGTTATTTTCGGAAATACATCAACATTATGAAAAGCAACAAGAAGTCAAAGGTTAGTTTAAAATAATGTAAAAATGAAATGAAACCTACTGATAGTTGCTTTCGTACTTTATTAGAAACTGGGATTATAAATATTAAACTTTAAATGAATGTTATGATAACATGATAAAGATAAACTGATATTTATTGGTAGTGGAAAGTTGTGGCCCAAAACGTTAAATAGTGAACTCACTTATAATGATGATAATGAACTAAATAAATAGGTGTAAGAGTGAGTTAGAAATTGTATGAACACGGAAAGGAATGAAAAAATAAATTTAATTGGAAAAATTGACACCTTAGAGAAAGGTGTTGCTAAAGGTAAAAATTTAGCGCGCACAAACTTTTTTTAACACACAAAGATTATAAAGTAATTAAATTATTGGTAATTTAATAAATTAATTAGAATACAGTCATAACTTCTATTTCCAAACATTTCGTTATACTTCAAGATTAATATACGTTTATTAATAAACGTGGGAAGGTTTCAATATAGTGATCAGTACAACGCTTTTGTATTTAAGTACGATTCTTACCTTTAGGATATTGTTGGTTTTAGCCCAAAAGTAAGAAGTCCGAAACGATAGACGCGCGCGCTGATTGGCTGCCTCAAGGAAGAGGGAAGTGATGTAATCCAAGATGACAAGGTCATAATTCCAATTGTTGCCACCAGAGTCGTTAGGGTAGTGTTGCTAGGTCGCCATGACACGCGGCCATAACGCCATAGTTCAACAAAATGTCACCAGATGGCGCAAAACTAACTTATGGAAGGCTAGCTAGGATCAAGTGATTAAAGTTTTGATAACAATTCAGTGTTTGTAACAAAAAAAAACATCGGTTACTATAATAATTTTATAATAATAAACTCTAATTAATATTCACTTTACACAAGTAATCAAAGGTTTTTTTTTATTTTAGAATCTATATAAAACATTTGAATACTAAATCAGCCGTGCACTTGACTTACAGTTTAAAACTGACCTTCAATATACAAATCAAGATTTCTACTCTAACATTAGTGAATATTTAAAAGTTTACTCATATATATATATAGAGAGAGACAGGGAACGTGCCAAAAACAACAAATATTTCGATCGTTTTTTACAAAACGGACAAACAACGTAGAAATTTCATTTCAAGTTTCTTATGATAAAAGATAATACATACCTTTTATTTCACGTTTTATAAATCCAGTATGTTTACAATCCAAATAAGTTGTTACTAAGTATCAATACTAAGTATTGATCTGGGACTCGCATATTTGTCGTTTAAATATAACATATTTGTCGTTTAAATATAACACGTTAGATAAATAGTCTTAACTTCTTGAAAGAGGGGGTAAAGAAATATTGATGTCGTCCTTCTTACAGTTTGAACAATTTTTATCTGACAACATAATATACTAAAATGCGTATGGTTTAAATTAGTTAATGTTTGTTTGTCTGTAAATTTAAGCCCAAAGCTACACAGTGGGCTATCTGTGCTCTGCCCACCAGAGGTACCGTTCTACCGTTGTAAGTCCGCAGACACACCGCTATGCCACTGGAGGGGGGGGAGCACGAGTTAATGTACAATCTTTGTTATAGTTCTTTTGTTACTTGGTAAGGACAATCTGATTAGAATAAAATGAATATTCTGTTCTACTTAAACGTGTGACAATTATATTATATTTACGGAAAACTTTTATCAAAATAAAAGTTAATTATAACACACTGTCGTTATCTACGCATTGACAGCATTTTTAATGTTTACGGGAAAATTTTACTAAAATAATAGTCAATTATAATACATTATCTTTGTATTTACATAACATACAGCAAATGGTCAGAATACAAGATTGATTCTACATAGATATGTGAGATTATTATTTTAATTATCTCATGTTTCGAAACATTGTTGCTATATATTTGACAAAGATTTCAAATACTGTATGTTGAGGTCATTGACAATGGTCAGTTCGACTTATCTAGCAGCAGTGATAAGTTTATTTTAAATCAAAGACAGGACAAAGGTTTTGTTTGAGTAAACATTTCCATCAGGATTTATTACACTGATAATCAGTATCATAACAATTACACACAGAACATACTAACTGTCTAAAATATCTTGGGGAACACCAATCACCATGTTGGCATCCCCCTTTTCAAACACAGTTTCACATGTATATGATACAAACTTCACAATTGTCTTTGTTAACATTAAAAATACACG